ACTTCAGGTTTAAAATGTCAACCTCAATTTTGACATATTTGTAATCTTCATTAAAAATCCTTTAAAATGAGTACAAACACGACATATTTATCTTCAATATTAACAAAGTTATGGTCAACTTCCGGTTAGAAATGTCAATGTCAATTTTGACATATTTGTAATCATCGTGAAAAATCCTTTAAAATAAGCCGAAACATGATACGTTTAATTCCAATATTACTCGAGATATAAGCAACTTCCGCTTTGAAATGTCAACGTCATTTTACCATATTCTTAATTTTTATAAAATGTCGCAAAATTTATCACAAAAACAAAAATATAATAAAAAAAATCTAAAATTAAGGTTGGTATTAATATTTAAAAATTAAATAGCTATCTTCATTGTTGCTAACTTCGGATTTAATATTTTTTATTCTAAGTTTTTTGTTTCTTGAGATAGGTGCGTCATGTTTGGACTCATTTTAAAGGTTGTTTTATAAAGATTACGAATATGGTAAAAAAATTAAAGTTGACATTAACACCTGAAAGTTTTTTCTTACCCCAACCTCAATTTTGACATATTTGTAATGTTCATTAAAAATCCTTTAAAATGAATATAAACACGACATATTTATCTTCAATATTAACAAAGTTATGGTCAACTTCCGGTTAGAAATGTCAATGTCAATTTTGACATATTTGTAATCGTCGTGAAAAATCCTTTAAAATGCCCAAACATGATACGTTTAATTCCAATATTACTCGAGATATAAGCAACTTCCGGTTTGAAATGTCAACGTCACTTTGACACACTCTTAATTTTTAAAAAATGTCTCAAAATTTATCACAAAAACAAAAATATAATAAAAAAAAATCAAAAGTTAAGGTTGGTATTAATATTTAAAAATTAAATTGCTAACTTCATTATTGCTAACTTCGGGTGTAATTCTTCTATTCTAACTTTTTTGTATTTTGAGATAAATGTATCATGTTTGGACTCATTTTAAAGGTTTTTTGGTAAAGAATACATCATGAAAGAACACCATGAAGTTGTCCGTTTGTTTATTATATGATAACTAACTTCAGGTGTAAAACGTCAACCTCAATTTTGACATATTTCTAATCTTCATTAAAAATCCTTTAAAGTGAGTATAACACGACATATTTATCTTCAATATTAATGAAGTTATGGTCAACTTCCGGCTTGAAATGTCAACGTCAATTTGACATATTCATAATTTTTATAAAATGTCTCGAAATTTATCACAAAAACAAAAATATAATTAAAAGAATCAAAAATTAAGGTTGGTATTAATATTTAAAAATTAAATTGCTATCTTCATTGTTGCTAACTTCGGGTTTAATATTTTTTAGTCTAACTTTTCTGTTTTTTGAGATAAGTGCGTCATGTTTGGACTCATTTTAACGGTAATTTTATGAAGATTACGAATATAATAATAAAATTAAAGTTGACATTAACACTTGAAAGTTCGGGTTTAGCCGTGTGGCGAAATCCGAATGTTTTTAGGCGGCTAACAACATCTCGAATTTTCTTAGTGTATTTTTTGCTTAAAACTAACAAATAGCAACCATTCTTTTAGGCGCGTCAATTTGAAAACACTCCTCCGAATTAAAAAATAGAGTATAGGATATACTCACTTTTTTAATTGTAATTTAATTTGGGCCAACTCAGCATTTTTCGAGCATAAATCGGCCGCATCTTCTCTTTGTTGGTCGGCATAACATCGTAACTCANATTCTAACTTTTTTGTTTTTTGAGATAAATGCATCATGTTTGGACTCATTTTAAAGATTTTTTAATAAAGAATACATCATGAAAGAACACCATGAAGTTGTCCATTTGTCTATTATATGATAACTAACTTCAGGTGTAAAATGTCAACCTCAATTTTGACATATTTGTAATCTTCAATAAAATCCTTTAAAGTGAGTATAAACACGACATCAAGTTACGGTTAGAAATGTCAACGTCAATTTTGACGTATTTGTAATCGTTGTGAAAAATCCTTTAAAACAAGCCCAAACATGATACGTTTAATTCCAATATTACTCGAGATATAAGCAACTTTCGGTTTGAAATGTCAACGTCATTTTGACATATTCTTAATTTTTATAAAATGTCTCAAAATTTATCACAAAAACAACAATATAATAAAAAAATCTGATATATTACGATATATGTTGATAACTAACTTCAAGTTTAAACTGTCAACCTCAATTTCGACATATTTGTAATCTTCATTTTTAGAAATGTCAACGTCAATTTTGACATATTGGTAATCTTCATTAAAAATCCTTTAAAATAAATACAAACACGACATATTTATCTTCAATATTAATGATGTAATGGTCGATTTCCGGTTAGAAATGTCAACGTCATTTTGACATATTCTTAATTTTTATAAAATGTCTCAAAATTTATCACAAAAATAAAAATATAACTAAAAAAATCAGAAATTAAGGTTGGTATTAATATTTAAAAATTATATTTGTTGCTAACTTCGTGTTTAATGTTTTTTTATTCTAACTTTTTTGTTTTTTGAGATAAATGCATCATGTTTAGACTCATTTTAACGGTTATTTTATAAAGATTACGAATATAATTATAAAATTGAAGTTGATATTAACACCTGAAAGTTTTTTTCTTAGCTGTGAATACCAAAAAATACCAAAATTACTAATTATTGCTACTGACGAATAGCAACCCTTCTTTTTGGCACTTCAATTTGAAAACACTCCTCCGAATTAAAAAATAGAAAATAGGATATACTTACTTTTTTAATTGTAATTTAATTTGGGCCAACTCAGCGTTTTTCGAGCATAAATCGGCCGCATCTTCTCTTTGTTGATCAGCATAACATCGTAATTCACTCAATTTTTGCTCCATTTCTAACCGATCTCTTTCTAATTGTTGCACCTTTTGCGATAACTCATTATTTTCATCTAAAACATTTTTGTGTTTGCTTTGCGCCTTTTCCATTTCGCTTTGTAACAATTTAATTTGTTGTTCTTTATCGTTTTTTTCATGTCGCAACATGATTAACGTTGCTTGTTGTTCTTTTAATTGTTGATCTTCAAAACAAAAAAATACATTTTTAATAATTCCAAAAAACGCTTTTTTATTAATCACCTAAAAGATGAGCTCGATTTTCCTGTGATGTATGAAAATTTTTAATACTTTCTTGACTCTCTTTTTTCGTTTGATCAATTTCGTTTAAAACTTCTTGTAATTTTACGTTTAAACCTTCAATTTTAGATTCTTTTTCTTTCCTCATATCCAATTCGCTTTTTAAATTATTTTGTAACCATTTCATTTTAGTTTCTAGATTAGCCAAATCAGTTTTTGTGTGTTGCACCTCGGTTTGACTTTGTTTTAATTCGTGACACTAAAAACTCAATAAAATCAACCTCTATAATTAATGTTGAAGTAAAAATTACCTTATTATCTAACATTTGACAAATTCTAGCTTTCTCCGTGCCCATTTGGTTAACTTTGTACTGCAAAATATCAATCTCTCGCAAACATTCTTTATGTTTCTTTTCTAAAGCGTCTTTTGCATATTTTTGCTCGATCACATTTTTTTCACTACAAGCGTATCTTAATACCATAGTTTCTTTGTCTTTAACAGCTTGTTCTTTTTCTTTAAGTACCTAAATTCAAAAAAAACTTTATTTAAATAATAAATAACCTAAAAATATTAATTTAAGGTAAGATTAAAAGATGGCGCCACTAAATAATAATTATTTTTTTTTATAACGAAATTATTAATATCACATTTTTTTCACTACAAGCGTATCTTAATACCATAGTTTCATTGTCTTTAACAGCTTGTTCTTTTTGTTTAAGTACCTAAATTAAAAAAAAACTTTATTTAAGTAATAAATAACCTAAAAATATTAGTTTCAAGTACGATTAAAAGGTGGCGCCACTAAATAATAATTTTTTTTATAACGGAATTATTAATATATTAAAAGAAACAAAAAATAAATTAATTGTTATCACTTTTTAACAAAACCATATTGATAAGATTATTATTTTATCTGCGAAATGTATTAATAATAAAAATGGATAAATATATTAGTTGAAATAATATTGTAGAGATGGCGCTACTTAACACAACTTAATAATGAAGGATTTTTTTTAATATTTTTTTTAATTAACTCACATTATCATATTTACTCTGTAACATCTCCTTAGCTTCCCCCAATTTCTTAAATTTCTCCTCCAACCCATTAAACCTTCCATAAAGACTCAATAATTGCACCTCTAAATCTTCACATTTTCCACACACCTTTACCTTTTCACACTCTGTTTCACTATCGAGGACCTTATTATCATCTTCTGAGGAATTAACGTAATCGGATTCGCTTTCAAAGTCATCTTTACGAACCCCTTCTGGAAAGTTGTTAACATCTTGAAGGGATTTAAAAGCAATATTTTCGCCCACAACGCTTTCTGATGTCTCCATTATGGAATGTAATGAACTATTGAAGGTTTTTTTTAATTAAAAACGCACTACATCGTTTGGATTTTAAAATATTTCAGGGATTTTTTAAGACATTAACTACCGACATTGGAATGTCAACCATGTCAACGTAAATAATAGTGAAGTTAGCGATTAATTGTATGGATTTTATTTTTAAAGGTAGGCAACCCAAATTGATTTTAAAAGAAATTAAATAAATTAGAAAATGTAAATATTCTTTATTTCTTTAATAACACGATTCAACCTCGTTATTTTTTACTGTAATACAGCGGCGTTTGCAGCTACACTTGGATTATTAATAACCTCTCCCAAACTATCGAGTAATTCTTTTCTATAATCGTCGAAATCACCTTCAACTTCATTGATAGTCTGATCTTCAATTACGTAAAGAGCACAATCGGTTTCTCGAATAAGTCTCTCGTCGTGAGAAACGATAATAACACCACCTTTATAATCGTTTATTGCATCAGCTAAAGCATCAATTGATTCTATATCTAAATTATTCGTGGGTTCATCCTACAAATTAAAAAAGTCGTCAACACCTTAATCAATAAAAAAAAATAATCTTACAAGAATAACAACATCGGGTGCATTTAAACAAAGCTCTGCTAAAGCAACCCGGGCTTTTTGTCCACCAGATAAATCCTTCATTTTAATTGTATGCGCATGGCTCGCCAAACCAAAAGTTCCAAGTTGTTTTCGAGCTTTTTCATAGGGTAAATCAAAGAGGCGCATTAAATACTCCGAGGGGGTTTCTTCCGCGGTTAAATGCTCACCGGAGTGTTGATCAAAACGTCCAATACGCTTTAATAAAAAAATTATTTGATTAAAATTGATTTTTTTTTGGGTTATGTTATTTACTAAACGATAATTTTTTCGAACTTCTCCCTCTAATGGTTGTATATCGCTGGTTAATAATTTTAAAAACGTTGATTTTCCAACTCCATTCGGCCCAACGATAGCTACGCGACTGTTTAAATCAATTCCAAAATCGGTTTTGATAAATAACGGTTTTTGAGTTGGATAAGCAAAAGTAACATCTAAAAAATTGGAGGTTTTAATTAACCATTAATAATTAAATAAATTAATTATTACTGTGAAGTCCTAAAATTGGTGGTTGTAAAGGTGGAGGTTCTGGGAAAGAAAATTTAACAATGTAATCTTTTGGTTTTTGTAATAACTCGGTCATTTGAACGTCATCCTCGGTTTTTTGCATCTTTGTTCTATTTTTTTCTTGTTTCCGAGTTAAAACTTCTTTTTGTTTCTTTTCCTAAATAAAAAAAAAACATTTAAAATAATTATTCAATAATAAAAGAATAAACATACGGCTTGTTTTTTAGATTGTCCATGCGCTTTCATTTCTTTAATCTTTTTCTCTTGCTTTTCATACTCTTTAATCATCTCTTTACGTTTTTGGACAAACATTTTCTTGAACATTGAATAATTACCTTTATAATAATACAATTTACATTGATCTAAATGAATTATTTCGTTACAAACATTATCTAAGAAAGATTGGTCATGAGATACGATTAATAAAGTTTTTTTCCATCCTTGTAAATAACTAAAAGAAATTTAAGTATTATTTGTATTAATAATACAAAATTATATTTATGACATTTTGACTTACTTATCGAGCCAAATTACGGCGTTTAAATCTAAATGATTTGTAGGTTCGTCGAGTAATAATAAAGTTGGTTCTAAATATAAAGCTCTAGCCAAAGAGACACGCATTCTCCACCCACCAGAAAAGTTTTTCGTTTGACGATTCTAAAATAAATTATATTAACCCTAGAAAGCTAAAGTATCGTAAAAATTACGAGTTCAATAAAGATATACAACAATTTTTTGTTTTAGCCGTTCGTCTCTTAAGGCGGCTAAACCCGAATGTTTCTAGTTCTAGGTCTAGTGTTAGTTCTACTTCTAGTATTAAACTAAGATGTCCAAAAGTGACAGAAAGAACACCATGAAGTTGTCCATTTGTCTATTATATGATAACTAACTTCAGGTGGAAAATATCAACCTCAATTACGACATATTTGTGATCTTCATTAAAAATCCTTTAAAATAAGTACAAACACGACATGTTTATCTTCAATATTAATGAAGTTATAATCAACTTCCGGTTAAGAATGTCAACGTCAATTTTGACATATTTGTAATCGTCCTAAAAAATCCTTTAAAATGAGTCCAAACATGATACGTTTAATTCCAATATTATTCAAGATATAAGCAACTTCCGGTTTGAAATGTCAACGTCATTTTGACATATTGTTAATTTTTATAAAATGTCTTAATATTTGTCACAAAAGCAAAAAATANAATAATAAAGTTGGTTCTAAATATAAAGCTCTAGCTAAAGACACACGCATTCTCCACCCACCAGAAAAGTTTTTCGTTTGACGATTCTAAAATAAATTATATTAACCCTAGGAAACTAAAGTATCGTAAAAATTACGAGTTCAATTAAGATATACATGTTTTTTGAGATAAATACATCATGTTTGGACTCATTTTAAAAGTTTTTGAATACATCATGAAAGAACACCATGAAGTCGTCCATTTGTCTATTATACGATAATTAACTTCAGGTGTCAACCTCAATTTTGACATATTTGTAATCTTCATTAAAAATCCTTTAAAATAAGTACAAACACGACGTATTTATCTTCAATATTAATGAAGTTATGGTCAAGTTCCGGTTAGAAATGTCAACGTCAATTTTGACATATTTGTTATCGTCGTGAAAAATCCTTTAAAATAAGCCCAAACATGATACATTTAATTCCAATATTACTCGAGATATAAGCAACTTCCGGTTTGAAATGTCAACGTCATTTTGACATATTTTTAATTTTTATAAAATGTCTCAGAATTTATCACAAAAAAATAAAAAAAAAATCAAAAATTAAGGTTGGTATTAATATTTAAAAATTAAATTGCTAACTTCATTGTTGCTAACTTCAGGTGTAATTTTTTTAAATTTTAACTTTTTTGTTTTTTGAGATAAATGCGTCATGTTTGGACTCATTTTAAAGGTTATTTTATAAAGATTACGAATATAATAATAAAATTAAAATTGACATTAACACCTGAAAGTTTTTTTTTTAGCTGTGCGTCGAAACGCTTTCAGAAAACACCAAATTTATTTTTAGGCGCATGGCTAACCGGTGATACACTGCTTAAAAAGTATAAGTTCCAATTCGTGCTTTATTTTTAAATTTTCCGCTAAGAATTTTAAAAGTTGAAGTTTGTTCAAAATGACATTTGGAAACGTCACTTTAAAGTGATTTTTCGGTAATATAATAAAGTAATAATGGTATGATTAATTAATTAGATTATCAGTGACATTATAGATGATTATCTACCGGTTCGGTTCTTAGCTGAACTATTTCAAAATATCCCCAACAGATGGCGCCACATCCGTTCAATATTTTTAGTAAGACATTTTTTTTTAAAAAGTTGCATTTCTAGGAAGCTATTTTCTATGACCGGTTTCAAGAAGAAAATTTGTGCTGTGTCGATTGTGTTGAGGACTTGTAATTTCCAAATTTGGCCTAAACATATTTTCAATGATATATTTTGAGTAATAAACTCATAAATGTCAAAATTTGTACCTAGAAGTATTTTTTTACGCTTTAACATCACTTTTGAACAGTTTAGTTTTCTACGGTTAAATTTTTTTTTAAATTCCTATTAAATTAATTACCTGCATTTCTTTAGAAAATCCTAACCCAGCTAAAATTCTTCTCGCCCTAGGCTCAGCAGAATCAGCCCCTATAGCCTTTAATTCCGCATAAACCTCATTTAACCTATCTTGAACGTCCAATTTTCCCGATTGAGCCTCCTCCTCTAATTTTTTCGCCTCTTCAAGCAATTCTGTACGTTTCACATCCGCTTTAAGCACCGATTCGACGGCTGTATAATCGTCGGCGACAACTTCTTGTTCGCAATATAATATATCGATGTTTGGAGGTATTGTAAAAGCTCTTTGCGCGATGTGACGTAATAATGTGGTTTTTCCATGACCGTTAGGGCCAACTAAACCATAATGACGACCTTGGGCGATTAATAAATTAGCGTTAACAAATAAATCTTTTCCTTTGGCGGAAATGCTAAAGTTTTCGACTTTTATGTCGACAGCGTTTTCCATTGCGGCCATTTGACCCACGGTTTTTTGCATCTGTGAAACTGTAAAGTTTGAGTCTAGTTCGGAATGACCTTGACCACCTTTTTTCATCATCATTTCCATTTGTTTTTGATATTCTTCTTCTTTTTTCTTCTTTTTCTTTTCTTTGTGGGTCAATTTTTTTTCTATTTCTTTCATTTCAGTGGGTTCTTCGAGTTTTGTTTCAACCAATTTATCATTTATTTCTTCTAATTGTTTTTCCATTTCACTTTTAGTATCACCTACCTTTTCTTCTTTTACTTTCTCAACTTCAACAATTTCTTCTTTCTCTTCATTTTCTATCACATCATCTAAATTTTCATCTTCATCCTCTGATGGTGGTTTAAATTTTTTTACTAAAATAAATCAATGATTTAATAATTAAATCAATTTTTAATTCCTTACTGTTTTTCTTTTTATTTTTCTTCTTTATTGGTTTTAATTCCCCTTCAATTTCAGGATCTTCCTCAACTAATTCCTCAGTTTTTTCATCATCTTTAGCAGCATTATCATCTTCTTCGTCAGATTCAACCTTATTCTTTTTATTTTTAGCTACAACAAAAATAATTTTTGGCAAATTAAACCAATTAATTCAAGATTTGGTACAATTTCAACAAATATATTAATTTTATCAATAGATGTCGCCACATTACTCGAGAATTTTGAGGTTATCTGTCATTAATTTAAACTTACATTTTTTTTGTGCCTTTTTCACCATAACCGGAGTTTCATCATCCGAAATATCTTTCAAATTCAATTCAACATCCTTCTCATCACCCCAATCATCATCGTTTTTATTTTTATTCTTTTTGCCTTTCTTCACAACTTTACTCACATTATTCTTATTTTCCTTGGATATTTCCTCGTTATCTGACGGGATCTTTGTTTTATTTTCATCATCACTCCAATCATCAGTCTTATTCTTGCCTTTTTTATTTTTTCCTTTCGCCGTTTTCGAGGATTTTGCTTCTACGGCAGGTTTCGTTTCATTGAAGTCGTCGTCCAGGTCCTGATTTTTCTTATTACCACGTTTTTTCGACATCTTAACTTAAAGGGGAACTTTTGTGTGGGATAATTTTTCGATTTTGATAGGTTTTTAAGTTCTAAAAATGGGTTATTTTAGGAAAGTGTATAAAAGCTATGACAGATGGACGAGAACTGTCAAATCACACGTGGAGTGAGTTAGGGATTTTAAATTTTCTTCTTTTTAAAACTAATAATTTTAAAAGTATGATTATATCAACAATTCGATAAAGATTGAACATGTTAAAGTTAGTTTAATAAAAATTTTAAATAAACATTAATAAATTTTTAGTTTTAATAATAACCAAGTTAGCCAACTTAAAATTATGGTGATCACTACATAGTAAAAATTTATTATTTTTAATTTATTAAGTAAAAAACCATAAAAGCACTATTTTTAGTTAATTTGTTTATTAGAGAATATAAAAATAAAACTTATAATAATAAATAATCAAAATAAAGATTATTTCGATTCCGAAGCCTCTTTATTCTTCTCTTTAGCTTTCTTAATTCCATTGTTCCTCATTTTATTCCTTATTTGATTCATTTTCAGTTGATTATTATGTTGGACAGTATTTTTTAAGATATTATTTAAAAAAACCTTGTTTGTCTGCATGGGCCGTTTCATTTGGGTTGCTTTAAATTCAGCCTCACGTTTTGCCATAAATTTCTTTGCGTCACGAATTAATTCTTCCACAGCCAATCTTATATTTGAACCGAAATGAATAAAGCATTATTACAGTATTATCAATAAAGTTTAATCCTCACCTTGTTAATTCTTCATCATCCATTTTTGGGGAAATAAGAATCAAATCAAAAAATATTAAACGGAAATGTTCTTGACTTTGTTTTAATAGTTATATCACTTTTAGAATCGTTTTAAATCGATTGGTTGCACATAAAAATTAACAATTAACCTTTATATTTATTAAGACATAACCTCACCTACGCAGTTTTGACGTTTCCTTTAGCGCCATCTTGTGGTAACAAATAAATCAACTTATTTACTTGAATATTTTATTAAACTGTATTTTCTTTCAAAACTCATTATAAACACATTAAAATATAAAAGATGATTAACTTATCTATAATATTGTTGATTACTACCCCATTGCGGCGGTGGAGCATTCCCAAAATCGTACTGATTTGTCCCTCTAGGTTGGGATAATGATGGTGTAGTATATTGAGATGGAGGAGCATTACTGCTATAAGTTGGATACGTTTGTACAGGGCTATAAGCTGGAGGAGTCGCAAAATATTGACTTTGTTGTGGTGGAGGAAGATGCATAGGAGGTGGCAAACTTTGATTATAACTTGGAGTCTGTTGATATTGGGCGTAATACGATTGGGTTTGAGTCACTGTTTCATGAACAACCGGAGCCGAGTCTTGGATGGGAACAGTTATTAAATTAGTTCGAACTCCAGCTCCTTGTAAAGGTGTTGCTCTTTGTCTGAGATTTTGGGCTATTGTCACACTTGCTCTTGGATCCATTTTACTAGGTGGTCTAGCTGGAGGTCTTTCTGGCTCTGGATTTTCAATTGGAGGCGTTTGTGATGATACATGTCTGTGATTAATATGTGCTTGAAGATCGCGTTGAGATAAATAAGTTCTACGACAACCTGAAGAGCCATAACGAGTCCCACCATGAGTACACATAAAAACTGTTCCTAAACCAGTTTGCTCCACTCGCGTTACTTTATCTAAACACCTGGGACACTGTGATTGTTCTTGTTTAGCACAAGCTAAACAAAAAACGTGTTTACAAGGAATCTAAAAAATAATATTTGTTATATTAAATTAAATAAGGATTATTAGTTTTACCATTCTTCCATAAATCAAAATAGGCTTCGTACATTTATCACAACAATGAATCATAGGATTTAAAACCTTCTCCCCAATTAAATTCACTTTATGATTCCAATTTAATCGCAACATAGGTTCTGGTGGTCCTCTATTAATCGTAGTAAATGTGGGGGCTTCCAATTGAGAAATATCAGCCTCCAAATCAACTAAAAATCATAAATTAATCAGAATTCATTAAAAAATTAATTTCTTAATTTACTTTTTGGGGCATCGTTTTCATTATTTTCGACGGGATTCTCTTCCTGTTGAGTTGTTTGCTCTTCGGTTGAATCTTGAAGAACACTTTCCGACTCATCATCGCTTTCAATTACCTTTATCGCTTTTTTTCCCCGTCCTCTTCCTCTACCTCGACCTCTTCCTCTTCCGCGAGCTCCACGACCACGACCTCGACCCCTTTTTGGGGGACCATCATCCATTATTACTTTAAAGGCTTAATAGTTATATGAGAGCCTTAATAGTATTTTTTAGTGCGGTTTTTCTTATTATTGGAATACGGAAACTGACGAGGTTACGTGGGAAGTCCCGGCGGAATATAAGAAGCAATCAAAATCCAGCAATAAATTGTACATTCCCCCTCCTTCCGAGCCAAAGTTTAAGTTATGTTCTTTACCAAAAGTTGATGAAGTTAATGTTAAGATTTATACAATAAATGAAGCTTGTCCTGATACTAAAACTGTAAAAAGTAGTGCAAAAAATGTTAAAAGAAGAGAAAAAGAAGATAATAAGTTATCTAATGTAAAAATGAGTCTGATTTCATATGGATCAAGTTCAGAATCTGAAAATGAATGTGATAAAGATGATGATAAAAAAGAATCTGTAAGTTTTTCTTTTAATCATTGATTTTTATGTTGAAATGATGAGAAAATTAAATGATTGTAACATGATAGGAAATAAGTTTTCAATCTGATTGTTAAAACTAAAATTAAACTGATGATGAATTTATAAAAGCTTACTTAAAGTTCTCCAAAAGTTTGTTTTTTGTTGAGAATTAAAGTGCTTTTATTCTGAAGTTTATTTTTTTTACTAATTATTAGAATAACAATTCATTTTTTGTTTAATCAGGTCGAAGATAAATCATCAATAAAAGAAAATGAGTCAGAACCAAGTGATTTTGATGACGAACTCGATATTTTAACCCAAATCCAGAAAAAAGCGAACGATTTAAAGAAAATAGGAGGTGAAGTCCCAACAGAAGTCAAAAAATTAATTGAAACAACCTCTAATTCGCCAAAAATTGGAGTATCTTTAGTCCCAGGTTATGGTGATGATTCAGAAGATGAACTTGAAACAACCCCAAATGTTTTAGAAACGAAAACTTTATTTCCTGCAGCAAAAAACATTGAGAACTCCTCAAATTCTAATTCGAACGATGCCAATCATGTCGAGTTTAACACAATTATTGATAAAAGTTCAACAGAAAAGAAATTCAATGATCAAGACAATTTCGAAATCGACGCGAAAGCTTTTCAAAGGAAACGCCGAATCGGAATTTCTTTGGTTAATACGAAAAGAAAAGTGGATGGAGATGAAGTTAAAAACGAAGAAGGGGTTAAAAAAGTTGAATATCCGGGTTTTAAAAGTGGAGGGATTCTTTTTGGGGATGAAAAAAAAGAAGAAATTGAAGTAAAAGTGGACGATGATGACTTGGTTAAAGAAATTAATGAAACGAAAAATACTTTGGAGGAGAAATTAAAATTTTTAAGCGAAGGGCACCCCCCAGCTTTACCCGTACAAGTTATGATCATTCAAATGGAGGTAATAAATATAATTTTAATTAATCTTCTTCTCAACTTCTGCTATTGTTTCCTCCCACTTCTTCCTAGGTCGTTTTCTTATCCTTATTCTTTGCTTCAAATACCTTTTTTTTCTGTTGTGTTATGTTCCATTCTAATTATATGGGCAGTTTAGTTACTTTCTCTCTATTCTAGTCTTATTTCCTGACTCCTTATCCTATCCCACTTTGTCTTTCCCACTATTTTCCATAAAAATTTTACTTCACTTGGTTCACTGGTATAAATATGTTAATATTGGGACTGCCACCAAGTTCTACACTTTCAATTTTATCTCTTTATCTATCTCCTTCTTCCCAAAAATTGTTCTCTTTAGAGTATGATATATGTTGTTTGTTTTCCTTATTCTTGCATTTATATTGCTTAAGTACATAAACTTTTTTTTTGTATCCTCCAAGAAATTAAATTTACAGTTTCCTGTAAATTATAACTAAAAATTACAAAAATATATTTCTCCAATCCAAAGCAATGTAATCCATTAAATATTTCCGTATTAACAGTTGGTATAATTATTTGTTTTTAAATACCAGAAGTTACCTTCTTATTTAATTATCTTTTTAAATTTTACCTACCGCTCCGTAATTTACAGGAAACTGTAAATTTTTAAAAAAAGGAGTAAGACAGCACCGTTGGCAAGTGATTTTAAAAGATGGGATGTTTAGTCAAGATTCCAAAATGGTACAACACTTACCACTTTTCTTTTCATAAAAAATATTATTGCCTGTTTTCTGCACAAAAAAAAGGTTATTTAAAAAATCATGCTTTCGTACGCTTTTGTATTTCCTCCAAACTACTTGAATACAAAATATCCCTGTATATCTTATAAATGGGTTTTCAACTTGACAGACTAATAATTATTTGAAACGTCAAAATTTCAAAAAACGTCAATTTAACTTAATTTTTTTAGGACTTTCTAAACGTTTGACATTTAAAAAACGTAAACAAACTCCTTTTTTCGTATGATTTAAGCATAAATTAATTAATTTTCGTAAAAAGGAACATGACGTTTCATAAAATTGACATTTAATTTTAACTAATTGTTGTGAAGTTAGTTACAATTTGTAACATTGAATTTCTGTCACATTGACGTTTAAACTTTATTCAAAAATTTATTTAAAAAAATGACTTAAAGGGTAATCATTTTCAGTCAGTGTTAAATTCTCTGTTTGTTCTAGCTTTTGAAATTCGTTGTTTGTTTTTGTTTGGTATTTTAGTCTTTCTTCCTCCTGCCTTAGTTTATGGATGTTTATTTTCGGCTAGGTTTTCATCTCTTCTCTTTCGATATCTATATTATTAATAGTTGCCATGACTAGTCTGTGGTTGGTTCCCATTTTTGCTTCTGCTTCACTCTTTACCTCCTTAACTCTGTTTTGGAGATTCCAGATGTATGTGATGTAATCAATACTCTTAGAATTCCTTTCTTCCGCCACAATTTAGTATAGTATTTGAATCAATAACTCGTTTATTTCACAAAATTCCACCATTCTTTGTCCATTTTTATTCATCACGCCTCTTCCTGATCCCCATATTCGCCTATACTACCCCCCTTGTGTATATCATTACGTATTCTCGCGTTCCAGTCTCCCATTATAATTACTTCCTTTCTTTGTTCTCTGGATTTATCGAAGATTTTCTGCAGACTTGAGTAAATATCTCGTATTTCTTCTTCTCGAATTTACTGGTGCATACTTATTTACTTTTTTATTTACTTCGATTTAATTGGACCGCGTTATGCATCACTTGACTAAGCGACAAATGACCAATATTGAGAAAAACGAGATTTTCGAGATAATTAACTTCAGATTTTAAATGTCAACCTCAATTTTGACATATTTGTAATCTTCATTAAAAATCCTTTAAAATGAGTACAAACACGACATATTTATCTCTAATATTAATGAAGTTATGGTCAACTTCCGGTTAAGAATGTCANAGAGCCTTAATAGTATTTTTTAGTGCGGTTTTTCTTATTATTGGAATACGGAAACTGACGAGGTTACGTGGGAAGTCCCGGCGGAATATAAGAAGCAATCAAAATCCAGCAATAAATTGTACATTCCCCCTCCTTCCGAGCCAAAGTTTAAGTTATGTTCTTTACCAAAAGTTGATGAAGTTAATGTTAAGATTTATACAATAAATGAAGCTTGTCCTGATACTAAAACTGTAAAAAGTAGTGCAAAAAATGTTAAAAGAAGAGAAAAAGAAGATAATAAGTTATCTAATGTAAAAATGAGTCTGATTTCATATGGATCAAGTTCAGAATCTGAAAATGAATGTGATAAAGATGATGATAAAAAAGAATCTGTAAGTTTTTCTTTTAATCATTGATTTTTATGTTGAAATGATGAGAAAATTAAATGATTGTAACATGATAGGAAATAAGTTTTCAATCTGATTGTTAAAACTAAAATTAAACTGATGATGAATTTATAAAAGCTTACTTAAAGTTCTCCAAAAGTTTGTTTTTTGTTGAGAATTAAAGTGCTTTTATTCTGAAGTTTATTTTTTTTACTAATTATTAGAATAACAATTCATTTTTTGTTTAATCAGGTCGAAGATAAATCATCAATAAAAGAAAATGAGTCAGAACCAAGTGATTTTGATGACGAACTCGATATTTTAACCCAAATCCAGAAAAAAGCGAACGATTTAAAGAAAATAGGAGGTGAAGTCCCAACAGAAGTCAAAAAATTAATTGAAACAACCTCTAATTCGCCAAAAATTGGAGTATCTTTAGTCCCAGGTTATGGTGATGATTCAGAAGATGAACTTGAAACAACCCCAAATGTTTTAGAAACGAAAACTTTATTTCCTGCAGCAAAAAACATTGAGAACTCCTCAAATTCTAATTCGAACGATGCCAATCATGTCGAGTTTAACACAATTATTGATAAAAGTTCAACAGAAAAGAAATTCAATGATCAAGACAATTTCGAAATCGACGCGAAAGCTTTTCAAAGGAAACGCCGAATCGGAATTTCTTTGGTTAATACGAAAAGAAAAGTGGATGGAGATGAAGTTAAAAACGAAGAAGGGGTTAAAAAAGTTGAATATCCGGGTTTTAAAAGTGGAGGGATTCTTTTTGGGGATGAAAAAAAAGAAGAAATTGAAGTAAAAGTGGACGATGATGACTTGGTTAAAGAAATTAATGAAACGAAAAATACTTTGGAGGAGAAATTAAAATTTTTAAGCGAAGGGCACCCCCCGGCTTTACCCGTACAAGTTATGATCATTCAGATGGAGGTAATAAAAATAATTTTAATCAAATTCTTCTTCCACTCACTCCAGTTCCTAGCTAATTCCTTTATATTTTTACCTCCCACTTCTTCTTCTCTCCAAATACTTTTTTTGCTATTGTGTTATGTTCCATTCTAATTATGTGGGCATATAATTATATTAATTACAAATATTAATTATAATTATTTTTATATTAATTATACCAAGTTGTACAGGGTGGTTCAAATTCGATGTGTAAATAGGCTGTCTTGGAAACTATAAGAGTTAGAAAAAAAGTAGTTTACATGTCTTGATCTCTTTTTTTAAATAAGTTCCAATGTCGAAAACCTCAAAACGCTATCGTCTTTTGTTTTTCCCCTAGAGGCCAAAATTGAAAATATCATAAAACCAGCAAGTGCAATTATCTTGGGTATTATTATAGGTGCAGTATTTTAACTAAGACATTATATGGACACTTTTTTACAGAGAATTATTTGATGATGTAATCAAAAATATTTTTTTGGTTTTAGATTTTGTGATATAACCATTTTCGTTTTTTTAAATGGAAGCAACCACTGATTATTCGCTTATTAAATTCGTTATTTTTTTCTGATTACAAAAATATAGGGTTTATCAGGTCTATTTTTTATTGTTTTAGAATAAAGCTTAAAATAAACTTTTTTTTTTTTAGTATCGTCGAAGAAGTTAAGTTTACAGTTTCCTGTAAATTATGATAATACAACTAAAAATTAAAAAAACATATTTCTCCAATCCAAAACAATACAATCCATTAAACAATTCCGTAATAAACATAATTATTTGTTTTTAAATACCAGAAGTTATCTTCTTATTTAATTATTAACTTTTTAGATTTTACCTACTGCCCCGTTATTTACAGGAAACTGTAAATTTCATTTCTTCGACGATACTAGATTTCGGCGGCGTTTAGAAATGTTATAAAAAAAGTTTATTTTTAGCTTTATTCTAAAACAATAAGCAATAGACCTATCGAACCCTATATTTTTGTAATCAGAAAAAATAACGAATTTAATAAGCGAAAGTGGTTGTTTCCATTTTAAAAAAACGAAAATTGTCACAATATCTCAAAATCTAAAACCGAAAACTTTTTGACTTTAAACTTTATTCAAAAATATATTTAAAAAATAGTATATTATTATATGAGCATATAATGAGGGCATAATTAACCTGACAGTTAAGTACATTTAATTTTTGTAACGAATTAGTTGTTATTATTATAGGTTGTGCATTTTTCTCAACCTAACCTAACTTTTTCAAGGACTATTTAACTCGTCCAAAAACTAGAAATTTTAGGTTACGTCGTGCGTCTTTGACGCTTGAATAATCTAAAATGATTCAAATAGTGATTAAATTACATTTTATATAAAATGAATGAACTTACAAATATTTTTAAATTGACATAAAAAAGATAGGTTATGTCTGAAACTTCATTCCGAGATAAAAATCGTCTAAAATTGGTTTAAGCAAACGATTTGGATGGTCAAAAATATCTTTAATTGTTTCTTTCGGTTGAATCGCACCTTTTTTTCACAAAAATTAATAATTTTTTTTACGAAATTTTTCTAAATGTCAAAAACACGATTAATATGAGGGATAATCACTAGATGGGGGTGACAAAAAAGATTTAATTAACAAATTTGAAATAATTTATAAAAATTTAATAAAAATTATGTTTGTATTTAAAAAAATCGATGATTTTCGATTTAATTAAGCCTTAATATAACAAAAATTCAATAAAAAGTTATTAAAAAAATTAATTAATGTTACTAAATTTCTCTAGATGGCGTTAACTCCTACACGCCTTTTTCATGACATTTTTGACGTTTCATTAAAAAAAAATTTTAATTATTTTTGATTTATAAGAACCAATCTCGTTTGAAACAGCTACAATACGACGAATATAAGATAGATAAACAAAAATAACACATTTCCCAGCACAGTTTTAAACTAACACGGCCGTTTTCGAAGACATCGGCCGCCCCCGAGGGCACGAAATGTTCATTCTTACAAATGCGCCTGCGATTAGGTTATTAGTTATTAGTATTGAAATTAATTAAATAATAATAAATTTTTGAATAAAGTTTAAACGTCAATGTGACACAAATTCAATGTTACCAACTGTAACCAACTTCACAACAATTTGTCAAAATTAAACGTCAATTTTATGAAACGTCATCTTTTTTTTACGAAAATTAATTAATTTTTGCTTAAATCGTACGAAAAAAGGAATTTGTTTAGGTTTTTTTAATGTCAAACCTTTAGAAACTCCAAAAAAATTGAATTAGTTTGCTCTTTTATCTTCCGAATTCGTTCTTATGTATTTCTTCCATGACTCTTTCTTCTTCTTGATTGCCTGTCGGACCTGTTAATTCCACCAGTGTGTTCTCTTTGTCTGATTATTACATTATTGCACACCTCCATAGTTTATTTCGCATATTCTCTGTTTGTTCTAGTTTTTGAAATTCGTTGTTTGTTTTTTCTTGGTATTTTAGTCTTTTTTCCTCCTGCCTTAGTTTATGGATGTTTATTTTCGTGTAGGTTTTCATCTCTTTTCTTTCGATTTCTATATTATTAATAGTTGCCATGATTAGTCTATGGTTGGTTCTCATTTCTGCTTCAGTCTGTACCTCCTCGACTTTGTTTTGGAGATTCCAGGTGTATTTTTAGACTTGAGTAAAAATCTCGCTGTTTTTCAGTTCCTTCCGTTGGTGCGTAGATTTTTTCCCTCCTTGCTCCATGTATTTTCTTGGACTCAGAAAAGAATAGACTATATTTGTTTGATAATTGTATTTTAATCAATATTGTTTTTATTAATTACATTTTAATTAACAGACATTATTTACTGCGATGTGCGAAGATAGTTTAAAACCGTCGTACCTCAAAAATTGGTTAAATTCGACTGTCGAAGATTTAACGAAGCTTGAAAAGGAAGCTGCCCCTTCCGGTTGGCTTTTACAGTGGGATAGGTATGAAATTTGCTATGAAAAAACTTAATTTTTTGAGTTTTATAAGAAATTTTGATTGTGTATCTCTTCGATTTTTTTCCCGTTATTAACCTATTTTCCACAGCGAACGTTTTCGTCGATTTATTATTAAATCTAGGATTTTGATCACATTTTAAGGTGAGTTTAGATTTATTTTATGGATTTAATTGTAGCTTTTAAAAATGTTTGTGTTTAATTCCGTTGTTTATTATTTAGAGGTTATAATAAATGTTCCCTAATGATATGTATTAAAGGAAGGTTTGTATGTATATTTTTATAAACTTTAGATGTAGCTTTATAATTTAATTGTGGGTTTAAGAAGAATAATTAACATTTTTTTCTGTATTTAGGTGTATTCCAGTTAATTTTTACCTCAATATTCAAGTTGTGAAGATCTTCAATTTCAAAATTAATCATTTTTTTTTACTTGTTTAATAAAATTTAAATACAATAAATACAGGGCAGGTATAGTATTTAAAAAAAATTGAAACCTTTTAAATAGATTTGTAAAAATTTTGTACTTTATAAAATTAATAGATAAAAAACTATGTACGCGATTTTCTTTTGGAATGTTTTAGGTCTCACAAACGTTATTACTATCATAATCAAGCAACGGGCGACAGTCAATGGGATTTTCCAGAAGCGGATGCAATCCGAACCGAAGAAGCCATGGATATTTCGATGACGCCACCCCATGATGATCAATCAACAAATCGCAGTTTAGAAAGCGAATCGCAAGCTGAACCTCCACCACCTCCATCTATCAGAAATAAAAGTATTTCACCTCCTCCGCCTCCAATTATAAGTAATATTTATTAATTTCGAAATAATTCATGTTAATTATTAAATTTAATAAGGTAAAATCGATAATGTTGATCAACCTTTACCTCCCGGAGTCGAAGAAGACAAAGAAAAAGCACCAAACGGAAAAGATGGGAGTTTTTCTTCCGAATTATCGTCCTTTTATTCCGATATAGCGGCCATAGAAAGTAATCTACCTCAACCTGTTACAATTAAAACTAATCCAGACGAGATTAAGCCTGAGGAAATTATTTCACAACCTCCAAAAAAGAAGAAAAAGGTTAAAGTCTCATCAGGATTAGCAATGAAGAAAAAAGGAGTTTCACAAATGGTTGAAAAGTGGAAAAATTTGCAAAAAAATTATGATTAATTGTAATTATATTAACTAAATAAAACTATTATACTCTTTTTTTGAACCCTTTTTAATTTCATTTTCTTTTTATTTTCAGTTTATTTCATGACATTTCATAAAAGTGACATTTAATTTTGACAAATTGGTGTGAAGTTGGTGACATTTAATTTGTGTCACATTGACGTTTAAACTTTATTCAAAAATTTATTAAAAAAAACGAGTTTTAAAGGGTAGTCATTTTTCACAGACTGAATAATAGCGGCAAATAATCATTATTCACTGGTAATCAACTTGATATACTTGAATAATTATTTGAAACGTCAAAATTTCAAAAAACGTCAATCTAATTGTTTTAGGACTTTCTAAAGGTTCGACATTAAAAAAACGTAAACAAATTCCTTTTTTCCTATGATTTAAGCATAAATTAGTTAATTTTCTTAAAAAAAAATATGACGTTTCATAAAATTGACATTTAATTTTGGCAAATTGTTGTGAAGTTGGTTATAGTTGGTAACTTGCAAAAAAATTATGATTAATTGTAATTATATTAACTAAATAAAACTATTATACTCTTTTTTTGAACCCTTTTTATTTTTCCATCAATTCTTAAAAAAAAAAAATTACATCTTAAGCGACCAAAGCCGATGCTGTGCTTGATTCATATTTCCAATTCGGGGCCAAAACGCTTTTAGTTTTGTAATACCTGGCAAGTCGATGAATACGAGACTCGACCAAAATCAATCGGAACTTGCTATCCTTATCCTTCCTGTTACGTTCCAAATGTTTGCGAATAGCAACAGCTTTTTTAATCAAATAATATAAATCTTCTGGTAAATCAGGTGCTAAACCCATCGCCTTCATGATACGAAGAATCTTATTCCCCGTAACAAATCTAACTTGGGCTACACCATGAGAATCCCTGAGGATAACACCGATTTGAGATGGAGTCAAACCTTTTTTACCTAACTTAAAAATGTGCTCTTTAACTTCCTCTGGGGTGAGTTTAAGCCATGTGGGTACTGTACGACGGTAAGGTAGAGCCGATTGGGCTATACCCTTCCTAAAAATCACAAAAAAAGATATTAAAACACGCGGCGACATAACCTAAAAAAGTTATTTCATAAAATTCCTATTAGGGTGTATAATTATGATTTATAGCTAGATTTTTATGGAATTTACGATTTAATTAAAAAAAACTTACCCAGGTGCGTGCATACGACCCATTTTTTAACGTTTTTAAACGGAGATCAACACGTTACAAATGTCGACAGCAAAAAGGAGGTTTGCTTACTTCCTTTTGACGTTTGTTAGAATTGATGTTTAATAGAATTACACTTTTTGTGATTAATAAATCATTTTAGAGCTAAAACGAATTATTTTTATTTTAAAATTGTTTATATTAATCTTTAAATTATAATCAAAATAAAATTTCATTAAAACATTCTTTATTATTATATTTATTATAAGTCATCAAAAAATAGAAAGCTTTTAATAGATTATGCATTTCGTAGAATATGTTAAAAATAACTTTTAAATATAAAAATTAATTAAAAATAATAACAAAGTAATAAATAACAAATATTGCCAATTTCAATTTTCACATATTTTTAATTTTAAAAGCACTTTTCAGATAATTTTTTGATTTTAAAACAACATGGGGGGGTTGGATCTTAAATCCAAGGTTTATATACAGGTGTCCCATAGGCTACTTATACTCTCTGATTTTGTAAAAATAAATTTGTAATAATTTCATGAATATTTTTTAAAATTTATTTAATTAAGCTTTGTTTTTACATCCAAAAAGAATTAATAACAATAAGTATAAATGTTAATTGAAATTACTTTTACATCTTATCACAAAATGAGATGAATAAATGAATTT